GGCCCCTGCCTGGCACTGCACCCCTCAGACAGAGGGCGCCTCTGACTCCAACAGGAGGCCCGCTGAGCTGAGAGACCTGTGCTCAGCCTACGTGAAGACTCGGGCTGGGGTGCCCACTGCTCAAAGCCAGGGTGGTGGAGGCAACAACAGCTGCTTTTCCAACTTTATTTAGAAAAACAAATCCAGGTCCGAGTGCCCCCGTGCCCTCCCCCACCCCGGCCATAACTTAAATAACTTAGAGACAGAGTTGGGGGCAGGTGGGTGGCGGGTGGGAGAGGGAGGGAGGAGAGCCCACTACAGCCGCCGCAGCGCCCGCTTCTTGTCCGTCTTTTTCTTGGCTGCCAGCTTCTTATCACGCTCACCCGCGTGCTTCTTGGCCATGGGCCCCTCGACCCCTCCTGGGCCCCCAGGGGCCATGGGGTCAGCGGTGGAGGCCACAGCCCCACTGGCCAGGGACCGGCTGGCCTCGGCCCTGCCGCTGCTGGGCCCACCTGCGCCCCCGTGGATCTCTGTGAGCAGGCGTGCGCGGGCGGCGTACTCCTCGTAGTTCTCCAAGAGCAGGCGGCCCGCCTCCTCGTTGAGGGCAGACTCGGGGTTAGGGTGGATCAGCAGGCACTTGATGGTCTGTGGGGAGAGCGCGAGGGTCAGGGGGGGCCGGCCCCCCAAGCGTCACACGTCTGGCCTTGTGGCCTCCACTCCCAACACCGCTCCCCCAGATGGCACACGCGTGCAGGCACCGTGATCAGTGACTCGCCCCAGGTCATTCAGGAAGTGAGGGGGGACTTCCCTGGTGGCACAGTCATTAAGAATCCACCTGCCAATGCAGGGGACATGGGTTCGAGCCCTGGTCCAGGAAGATCCCGTATGCCGCGGAGCAACTAAGCCCGTGCGCCACAACTACTGAGCCTGTGCTGTAGAGCCCGTGCTCTGCAACAAGAGAAGCCACTGCAATGAGAAGCCTGCGCACCACAACGAAGAGTAGCACCTGCTGGCTGCAACTAGACAAAAGCCCGTGCACAGCAACGAAGACGCAATGCAGCCCAAAAAAAAAAAAAAAAAAAGAAAAAGGAAGCGAGGGGGACAACTTAGGAACTAGCAACTAGACAACCAGCTCTACATTACACTACAGGAAGATGCTTAAAGCTACAGCTATCGCTGGCTTTAACAGGAATCTCAAGGGCAGAGGCACAAATCCTGGCTGGGCAAGCTGTTAATACCCAAGAGAAAGGAACCAGGGCATAAACAGAGACTGATGCCCGAGGACAGTCGAGAGTGGTCCAGGAAGGAAGTGAGCCTTCAATATTCCTTAATCTGCCCATTTTAACTGCAGAGTAAATCGAGGCCGAAAGGTGTGACCAGCCAGCCCCCAATGGACCGTTCTAAGAGGAGTCTACCCAGACAGCTGTGGCCCCTAAGCCGTGTTTGTTTTACCTCCACTTTGATTCTAAAAGGGAACGCAGAGCACCCCAGGAACCTAGAACTTGTCTGGCCTTGAGCAGGTGAAATGCTCTCACGTGTAAATGGGGGCAGTAACAAGTACTCCCCAAAGCACCTGGCCCAACACACATCACTGATAATCATGAGGGACCAGCATCACACCCTAATTCTGACAACTGCACCCCACAACCAGAGGCCTGACTGCCCGCCTTTCCCACAGCTGCCCTCCCATGGCTGAGCCTGGCCTGGGCCCCGCACTGCAGGCCCTAGGGATTGTTGGGGACACTTGGGAGTTATTCTGTGAGCTCATCTCTGGTGTTGCTGGCAGCCACCACTGACACTCCAGGGAGAGGAGGGAAAGGTTTGGGGTCTGTTTACCTTGGTGCTCAATCCTCCCCGGGGCCCTGCAGGAAACCCCAATTCCCCATCCTCCCTACCAACTGCCCCAGGGGCTCATTAGAAATTCAGTGTTTGTTTTTTTAAATTTCACCTTGTGAGGGGGTGGAGAGGCATCAGGTGACCTACATGCTTTAAGTGGCCTACGGGGACCCTGGAGCACCAGAGTAGTCTGGCTGTCTCCACCTCAGCTTGGCTGAGGTGGGCCTGGATGGTTCTCCACGGGGTGGTCCCTGCTGCACCATGTGCAGCAGCTTCCCTGTCTCCACCCAGCAGGTGCTGGTAGCACCCCCAGCTGTGACAATTAAAAATGTCCCCAATGGAACAAAGCCACCCCTGGTTGAGGAACGATGGAATGACAATGGTGATGGTTGTACAAGCTGTGACTATTGAAACACCAATGAACTGTACGCTGTAGGATACTGGAAAGTCTATCTTCACCCTAACCAGACGCTTGACTTGTACCTGTCAGAACACCGTCCTGCTACACAAACCATCACTTGTTCCACAGCAAAGGTAGCTGGGCACTGCCAACCCTTCCAGAAAAGCTGGAAATCTGGATTCTTATGTAGAAGCCCCAACCAGTTCAGTGTTGACTTTAGAAGAGAAACAAGGCTCCGTGGCTTGGACATCACTGGGATGCGTCCAGGAGGGAGGCCCAGGCCCAGGCAGAACTCACCAGCAGCACGTGCCGGATGCCCAGCTCAGCTGTCCAGTCCCTCTTGAGCACGTTGACGCAGATCTCACCATTGGCGCCCACATTTGGGTGGAAGATCTTGGTCAGGAAGTAGCCCTTGGGCGGGGAGGCAGGAAAGTCCTTCCCCAGCAGGAGTTTCATGCGGAAGAGGCCTCCGGCATATGGGGTCCCCTCTGGAATGCAGGGAGGGGGACAGTGTCAGGAGACGCAGGCCTTCCAGGCACCCCCAAAACCAGTCTCCTCGGTCTGGCTGCAAGGCAAGTGCCCCACCGCCTCCTCCACCAGACGGGCGGTTCTCGAGAGGAAGACAGGCCCAGGTTCCCAGGGGGCCACAGGCACCACCCCCAGCTCAGAGTAAACCCCCTGACTGGTGGTCCCCACCCACAGATCCCTCTTCACTCCCAAGTGAAGGCACAGCACACCCTTCCCAAGAGGCACAGACACAAGTGCCCACTCAGCTCCTTGGAAAAACATCTATTTGGAAGCCTCTCAGGCAAATGTCAGGACAGTTCTGTCCACTCCGTGGTCTTCCCTGCCGCAGCAAACACTGGGAGCTGTTCCAGACCCATGGCTGTTCCTCATGCCCCAGCCCCCACGTCCCACCCATCATAGCCTGGGCAGCTGACCTCCAGGTCCACTCCTGAATCTGAGCCCACCTCCAAGTCCAGCAGAACCACTTCTCTCACCTGATGGATGCCCATGGTCAGCGGCTTCCTGACTGGCCTCCAGATTCTATCCCCACCCTCACTGAAGTCAAAGTGAAGTCTGAAGTGACCCACTGGCCCGGCTTTAAACCTTACAAAGGCTTCCTTTCCAAACTCCTTTAAGAGGCCTACAAGCCCTAAAAGATCTGTTCCCTATAAGCTTCACAAGTCTTTTTTCTTCTGTTCCTCAGGAAGTCTTCCCTGACCCCCTCCCCACAAGTTCAACTCCAGACTAGGTCCTTCATCACACTCTTCACTTATAAAAATTAAACTAATAACTTAAATGTAGTGCACGTGAAACAACCTGCTAAGCCACTCTGCAAGATCAAACGGTCCCCTGTAGTTATTTGGTTATTACTGTTATCTCCCTGAAAGCCTGCATTTGGCTTGTTCTCTGCTTGGTCCCCAGAGAACCTAACACTGGCGGCATGAAGGAGTTTGAGATGATCCAGCCTCCCCTCCAGGCCTTTGCTGACACTTCTCCCCACCTGGCATCCTCTTCCCAATCCCACTTAATTCCTACCCATACTTCAAGATGGAAGAAACACCCAAACCCAGGTAAGGCCCCATTATATGCTCTCCTGGCCCCCAGAATTTTTCTCACAACACTTACGGGGAAAGTATATACAATTACTTGTCATTTCTAGTGTCCTGCCCTGCATACTGTGAGCACCATGTGTAACAGGTGTGCCTGTCATGTCTACCCTTGCGTCCTCAGGGTCTGGCAGTCCACCTTACAGTGGGAGCCTCCTATCCTTGCTCTAAGATTGACGGAGATCTAGGAAGTGCACCCCTCCCTCTCATTCCCACACTCACCAGGGCCCTCGATGGTGACCTGCAGGTCAGTGAGGTCCTCCTCATTGGGAAAGACCTTGATACCATCAGGTGGGTCAGCTGTCAGTGTCGTCACCTCCTTGTACACCAGGCGGATGATATGGGGGGGCAGGTTCTCCACGTTGGAGTTCTAGGTATGGAGACAAGGGGGTGAGCCACGGGCAGAGCCAGGGCCTGGTGCCTCCTGCAGGATCTAGGATGCAGTGGCACCCTAGTCTTACTCCTGCAGTCCCAGACTGTCAATCACCCCGAGCTCCCAGAACCCCCAACCCAGGATGCTTCAGGCGACCGCCCCAAGCTGATCTCCCACTAGAAATAGGGCGGATTGCAGAGGGCTTGCGGATGACTCCACCTTCCCCAGAAGACCCCAAAGCCCGCTCGTAGCTCCGCAAGGTCCCCGAATGATTCCGGGTAGGCCCGAGGCCTATGCCGGTTCCCCTTCCCCACCTAATCTTGGTTAAGACCACCCTGGAAACCCCAACTCGAGCCTGGAGACGGCGGCGGAGCGTCGTTGTTCCCGAAACACCCACGGGCGGGCCAAAAAGCCCGGAGCTCGGCTGGGCCCTCCCCTCCCGCCCCGCCCCGCCTACAGGAAGGCCCCTGGGCCCATCTCAGGCCCGAGATACCCAGGTGGGCCCTCCAATCCCCCAAGCCGCCCGCGAGAGGCTCCTGAGATCCCGCCTCCTCCTCTAGGGGGGGCCCAACCACCCCTCCCGGGCCTGGACGCCTAGCTCACCATGACTGCTGCCGGCCGGGGGCGGGTCCCCCCGGCCCCCTTCCTGCGCTCTCCGGCCGCCGGCCGGGGCGGGGGGCCCAACTGCTGCCGCTGCGGCCCTAGCGAGGCCCCGGCGGCCCCGCTCTGCTCCCCGCTGCCTCCGACGCCCGCCGCGAACCGCAGCACACCTCCACCTGCCCCCAGTGCCCGGCCGCACTAAGCCTGTCGCGCGCGCACCGCCGCCCTTTTATATCCGCCCACAGGCCGCGCCCCCTCGTGGGCCCCTCTCGCCGTGCCTCGACCCGTGACGTCAGCGCGCACGGCCCTCGGCGTTCGACGAGCTCGCTCACTTCCAGCAAGCTGCAGGCCGAAGTTGGGGAGGGGGCGCTCGGCGGGCCGGCCAATGGGGGTACGCGGTGGTCGGGGAGGGATCCGGGAGGATGGAGTGGCGGAGAAGGGGAAGTAGAGTGAGAGAGGACGTGAAGGGCGACGCGACCGCTGATTGGCCCGTTTGAATGAGACGCTGGCGCACGCGCGCGCCCCGACGCCCAGGAGATCACTCACGCGACTAACGGTCGGCCGTGGAGCCTGGGCAGGGCGAAGGGAGGTGGGACTCTGGCGGTTTAAAAGGACGATAGAAGGCGCGCCGGCCAATAGGGACGCGCAGTCGTGGAGTGGCGTCACGAGACGCGCGCGGGCCAATCCTTGACGGAGAAGGCAGTACGGGGGTTGGGGGGGCGAGGGAAATGGAGAGCGACCAATGGGAGCCTTGCCTAGCGCGGACCCAGGCGCTCGCAGCCAGTGAAGTTCGTTGATTTTTGTGTATGCAAATGAGTGTGCGCGGAAGCCCGCGCCCCTTCCTCAGCCGGGAGTGGGGGTGGGCGCTGGGAATCGTTGTACGTTTTTCTCCGAGGCGCCATTTTGTGCTGAGAATGACCTGTGACCTGCGTGGTGTGTCAACCCGGCGCTGAAGGCTTAGACGCCTGGCCGTCCAGTGTGTGACTTCTGGCCCCAGCCAGGCCTCAGTCTCCTCCTGTGAGGACTGTGCCCGAGAAAGAAGGAAGAGCCCCCCGGCCTTGTTGAGGGCCTGGCCCTGCCTGTGACTGACAGCGGCCTCCCGCCAGCCAGGCCTCGCCGGGACTCCCTTTCCCTGTCTGGGGAACCGGCGCAGAGCGCCCCGGGCGGCCCAGTGTCGGCGCCCTGAGAGCGGGAGGCCCGGGAGCTGACCCGCCTCCTCGGCTCCTGTGCGGTGCGGCCGCGGCGCCCCCGTCAGGCCCTCTCTGCCCTGGTCCCGAAAAGACTCCTCAGGGGGCCCCAGCCTCTGGAACAGGGGCCAGGAACGTGCAGAGACGCCCACCGCCGTAGCCATGACTAGTTTGTGGCAGATTGGCCGCACGCGGGCATCCCACGCGCCTCGCCTTGGGTCTTATCCCACCGGGTGCAGAGGAGTCCGGCCCAGTTAACAGCCAAGAACCCTGAAGGAAGAGAGGGGTCAAGTGACTTGCCCAGGCCCCCCCCCCACTTGGGACATGGCGGAGGTGGTGGTCAGACTGAGCTGTATCTCAGAAGTCCACTCAACAGACGTAACTGATGATGGTCACGAGAGTGGTGGTGATCGGTCCGGTGCTCGCTGGGCAGGGCAGGGCACTGTTCTAGTTTCTTTGCATGCTTCATTTCATTGAATCCTTGCCACAGCCCTGTTGGGTGGATGTTATGATTCCCCTCTGGACACCCTCAGTCGTTCAGTACGCTTTTGTTTTTGAGCACCTATCATGTGGTAGGCAGGATACTCTGGGGATATGGCTGAGCATAAAAGGGACAAAATCCCTGCGCACTCAGGGAGCTGACGTCTTCGTGGGGAAGCCAGACAGTAAACAAGTAAGTCTATCCTATCATGTCAGCGAGTGATAAAGACGTAGAGGAACAATAAGGGCCAAGGGCCTACAAAGGGAGGGGTGGGGGCTGCTCTTTGACTTGAGGAAGGATCACTTGGGCTCCATACGGGAAGGTCTAGGGGAAAAGCATTCCAGAAAAGGGAACAGCCCGTGCAAAGGCGAGGCGAGGGGATCGCGCTTGGTGTGTTTGGGGCGCCACCAGGAAACCAGTGAGGGTAGGTCGGAGGGAGGTGCTTAAGTCCGAGAGGTAAGGGGGGGGTAGCGGTTACGTCTCTCGCCTCTGCCGGGTGGGCGGTGTGTTGTCCTCAAGCCCTAGGGAGCCATTGGAGGCTTTGACAGGGCCGTGGGCGGTAATAGAGAGGGAGGCGAGCAGGATGGTGGCAGTGGGGATGGGAGACGTGATGGGGATCGGTGACGTCGACAGGACCTGAGGGAGAAGGAAGGAATCGCCTGCATCTTAAAATTGGGGTCAGCAAACCTCAGTAAAGGTTTTGGATTTTGCGGGCCATCAGTCTCTGTCCCAGCGTACCCAGTTAGGCTGCTATAGCCCCAGAGTAGCCAAGCCCATGTGCAGATGTAGGGGCTGGCTGTGTTCCCATCAGCCTTTGTTTACAGAAACAGGCAGTGGCAGGGGTTGGACCTCAGGGAGGCTGCTTTTTACTGACCCCTGAAATCCCAACAGGCCCCACCCCTGCTAAGAACTTTTCAAGAGCCCTCAACACACTGCGTTTCGAGTAAATCCCAAACTCCCATGAGATCCGTAAGTACACTCTCTCTGAGGCCCCCTTGGCCTCTTTCTGTCTGTCTCCCTGCTATAAGCCAATCTCTGCCTGACCTGAAGAAGTTTACACAGGAGTCCCCTGTGCCAGGAGAGCTTTCCTCCTCCTCTGTCCTCCTCATGGCCTAGGCTCACCTTAAAATGTCACCTCTCATGGGACTTCCCTGGCAGTCCAGTGGTTAGGACTCCTCGCTCTCACTGCCAAGGAACTGAGGTCAGTCCCTGGTTGGGGAACTAAGATCCCACAACCTGTGCAGCACGGCTGGGAAAAAAAAAAGTCACCTCTCAGAGCAGCTTCCTCACCTCCACTCCCATGTTCTGTTTACTTCACCCTCTTTGATCTTCCTGGTCCATAAGAATTTATTATTTGTTTGCTTACGTGTTTGTCTCTGTCCCCCGATGAGTACAGCCCCAGGAGCACAGGGACCCTGTTCTTAGACTCTAGCAGAGTGCCTGACAGATCAAGGTGTTTGTTCAGCAAGTATTTATTGAGCACCTACTGTGTGCCAGGCACTGTTCTGGGTGATTGGGATACGTAGGCAAACAAAGATCTTTGCCCTTGTGGGGCTTACTGTGGTGAGAGAAGACAGACACAGAAGTGAAATGTAATAAATAAATAAAATACATGGTATGTTAGAAGGGAGCAAGTGCTGTGGAAAAAGAGAAAAGTAGAGCAAGGGAGGGGCTCAGAGTGTGCCAGGTTGTGAATTTTAAGCCAGGTGGCCAGGGAGGCCTTACCAAGCAGGTATCATGTGAACACAAGTTTGAAGGAAGGGAGGAAGTGAGCTATGTGCTTATCAGGGAAGAGCATTCCAGACAGTGGGAACAGCTGGAACAAAGGCCTAGCACGTGCAAGGAACTGCAAGGAGGCTGGTTTGGTTGGAACAGAGTGGGCAAGGGGGAGGGTGTGGGGAGCTGAGGTTAGAGAGATGTATGTGTGGATGGAGTTGGGGAGCCGGTATCATTCAGGGCCTTGAAGGCCGTGGCTAGGACTGTGGTCTTGTCTCTGGGGGAACAGGGAGCCATGGCAGGGTTTTGAGCAGCGGAATGCTGGGGTCTCACTCTGACTGCTGGATGGAGAAGAGAATGAAGGGGCATGAGGGCGGAAGCAGGGAGGCCGGGGAGGAGGCTGTTGCAATAACCCTGAGAAGAGATGGTGCTGGTCATCAAAGAAGATATATAAATGGCCAATAAGCACATGACAAGATGCTCAGCATCGTCAGCCATCAGGGAAGCGCACAGCAAACCACAGTGAGCTGCCACATTACACCACCAGGGTGGCTATAATCAAAAAGTGAGGCAATAAGTGTTGGGGAGGATGTGGAAAATAGGAACCCTCACACAGCTGGTGGGAATGAAAAATGGTGCAGGTGATTTGGAAAACAGTGTGGCAGTTCCTCAGATGATTAAATCTAGAGTCACCGTGTGACCCAGCAATTCCACTGCTAGGTGTATACCAGAGAAATGGAAACAGGTCCACGTGAAAAGTCACACGCAGATACTCATGGCAGCGTTCTTTATAATAGCCCAGAGTGGGAACAACCCACATGTTCAGCAACTGGTGAATGGATAGACTAACTGGTATTTACTTACAGTGAAATCTTATACAACCATAGAAAGGAGTGAAGTACTGTTATCTGCTACAAAATGGATGAACCTCCAAAGCGCTATGCTAAGGGAAAGAAGCCAGTCACAAAGGACTACATGTTGTATGATTCCATTTATATGAAATGTCAAGAACAGTCAAACGCATGCAGACAGAAAGTGGATTAGTGATTGCCTAGGACTGGGGGATGGAGAGTTGATAGCTAATGGGTAGATTTTCTTCTTGGGGCGCTGAAAATATTCTAAAATTGTGATGGTATAGATGCACAGCTCTATGAATATACCAGAACACTTTAAATTGGTGAGTTTTATGTATGGCATGTGAGTTATATGTCAGAATAAAGATGTTATTTTTCTAAAAAGAATTTTTAAAAAATACTGAGATGGGAGGAACTGAAAGAAGGCCAGAGGGGTGGAGAAAGAGGGAGAGAGAGGTCCGAAGGAAGAATGTTCTGAGCCAGTAGAGGTAGGTATGGAGGGGCTACGCTTGGTAGAGCCCTAGGGAGCCAATGAGGAATTCTCACCAGGACGTGTGAGTGGATTTGGTACTGATGTTGAGATTCTGGCTCAGGGCTGCTGGGTAGAGACTAGACTGGAGGACCCAGAGTGGAAGCAGGAACTCCAGCAGGGAGCTGGTCATGGGTTGGGCTAGTGTGGTGGCTATGGCCGAGAAGTGGGCGGATCTGAGAATGACTCAGGAGATGGCCTAGTGATGGGCCTTTTGTGTTAGTTTGGGAGACTGGAATCTGCAGGGGATGGGCTAGGGGAGGGCTGTCCTTACTTTCCTAAATATTGGAGACCTGGAAACTTACTTTTGCTCAGTGAAACCCAAATTGTCCCTTCGGCTTGAATTCTAGCTTCAGAAATTAATCTTCATTTCTTCTGTTCATCTGTATTAAATCACTAAAGAAATACATGCTTGGAGGGAAATTCACACAGTTACTGCAGTGCAAGAAGTAAAAGTAGGAGGTGCAGCTCTAGCTCTCCTTCTACTCCCGCATTCGCAATCCCACCCCCTCAGGTACCCGCTGTTAATATCTGGGTGTCTTCTTCCCCACACTACTTGGACGTTTACATTCCCGCACATCCTCCCTCGGCAGCATGCACAGCGGTCCTTGATAAGAACACGGGAGTTTCTAGCATTCTCCAACTAACGGGTGTTTATGCCGGTCCAGTCTGTGGCTAGAAGCTGCAGTGAGCATCCTCAAACGTTTATCTTTGGGCAAAGGTGTGAGCTTTCCTGAAGGAGAAATTCCTAGAAGTGGAATCTCAGGATCAAAAGAGCATGAGTGTTTGCAATTCTGCCAAGTAGCCCTTGGCAGGATTCTACTTATTTAGATCCTCACCATTAGGCTCTGATCCATTCATTCAATAATTCATTTAGAACCAACTATTTGCCAGGCTGTGTTTCTGTGTGCTTGGGATACATCAGTGACCAAGACAGGAAGCAAGACACCACCTTCCTGGGGCTTCCATTCTGGTGGGGAGACAGATAAACAGTAAGCACTAAACCCAGGGTGGCCAACTGTACAGGGTTGCCCAAGATGCTGGACTTTCAGTGAGTGCCAGCACTGGGAAAGTCCTGGGCTAGTGGGTAAGAAAAGCTGGTAGTATAAAAAGATATTACTATAAAAATTAGAGCAGTTAAGGTAAGGAGGTTTGGGAACACTGGGGGGAGGGGGGAGAATTTTAGATGCGGGGAGTCAGGGTAGATCTTCATCGAGAAGGAAACAAATATTTAAAGGAAGCGAGGGAGCAAGGTTTGTGCTTATCCAGAGGAGAAAGACTGTTCCAGGCAGAGGAAACAGCCGATGTCAATGTTTTGGTGCAGAAATGAGCCCGAGTATTAGCAGTCTTCAAAATATGTGCCAGTCATGGTCAAAGGTGCCTCATCTTTCATCGGCATTTCCTTTCTTCCCAGTGAGGCTGAGCATCTTTTCATGAGTAAATGCCTCCATCTTTATTTCTGAGTTCACAGTCTGTGGTTGCTGATGTGTTCTCTGCCCCTTAGTGCCCTTAACATTTTTAAGCAAGTTGACTGTAAGGCTGTGGCAGGTAATTAGCAAGAACCACTTTCCTTTGTGCCCCTGAACAGAGGTTAGAGCTCTACCCCAGTGGGAGGGGCCCGCATTAATTGCTAAATATGCCTGCAGTGGATCAGGTGCTCCCTCTAGTGACAGACAGCAGCAATGAAACGCGTTGCTCTTATCCCGCTCCAAAAACCCTAGACCGCAGAGCACAGCCTTTCATGTCGGACAAAAACAAACTTCAGGGGTTTCCCTGGTGGCGCAGTGGTTGGGAGTCCGCCTGCCGATGCAGGGGACACGGGTTCGTGCCCCGGTCCGGAAGGGTCCCACATGCCGCGGAGCGGCTGGGCCCGTGAGCCATGGCCGCTGAGCCTGCGCGTCCGGAGCGTGTGCTCCGCAACGGGAGAGGCCACGACAGTGAGAGGCCCGTGTACCGCAAAAAAAACACAAAACAAAACAAAAAAAAACAATAGTAACTAGGGGCTTCCTATAACGGCCGTAAAACAGACACCTCTGATGCACATCAAGATTAAACAGAATAATGCCTGATGCCGGCAAGGGTGGGAGCAAATGGACGTTCTCACATACGTGGACTTGGCAAGGCTCTCGGAACTGCATCTTGGCGTTGTGTAGCAAAAGTCTTAAAAACGCACCTCCCTCTGACCCAGAAGTTCACCCTCCTGGGAGGTCTTCCCAGGGAAAAGTAAGTGAATGCGCCCCATGGTGTGCAAAAAGATATTCCTCAAAGTATTGTTCATAGTATTGAGAAATGGGAAAACCCTAAATGTCTGGTGGTAGGGACTGGAACAAAAATTATGCTGCTGCCTGGACTCCAGAAACGTGTGTCATGAAAGAGACTGAAGAACTGTTCAAGTCCAAGGAGCCTCGAGAGACACAATAACCAGATTCGACACCTAATCCCGGGGTACCAGGGACTGAAAAGAGAATTGCTCCAAAGGACAATACTGGGACAGTTGGTGAAACTGGAACATGGACTTCATCAGTGTTAAGTCCTTGATTTTGATAACTATACTGTGGCTGTGTAAGAGAATGTCCTTGTCCTTCAGAAATGTCCCTTAGGGGGCAGCTTACTCTCAAGTGTCTCTGAAAAAAAATATTTATATGGGAGGAAAACCATAAAGCAGTGTGATGAAATGTTAGCAATTAGTGAATTGACAAAAGCTGTACATGAGTTCTTCGACTTATTCTTGTAACTTCTGCACGTTTGAAACTGTTTCAAAATATAAAGTTGAAAAGAAATGAAAAGAAAAAAGAAAGGCACATGCACACAACATCTGGTATAGATTTCCGAAGTTTGCAAGCCCGCCCCCTCAAATGCCGTTAAGAATA